TGAGATGACAGACGAGGATATAGCGAAGCGATGAAATGTCGATGGAAAGAGAGATGCAGTGCGAAGAGAGAAATAAAGAGATACGGAATAGAATAAAAGAGATGCATGGAAGGCAGTGAAATGAGAGACATGTCGATAAAAAAAGAGAATCGAGTGACATGAGAGAAGAATAAGAATCAAGATGCAGACAAAATCATCGTCCTGTGATGTTTATTCGGATTTTAATTTGAGCAGGTGCTTGATGCACCCGTATATATTTATTTAATCATGAATCCAGGCCCCCCCCCCTCCCCCCGATCCACTTGGGGGTCTTCAGCTTTTGCTTAGTTTGCTTGTGCGCAGTGCAGGCACTGGGCGAGACGAGCGGCTGTGGGCCCGGCCAGCATGCTCGACAATGATTAAAAATCCCCCGGTGCAAGAGGTGAGACAGAAACTTTAGAGGGCAGGTTATCCCGCCAAACAGCTAAAGCGGCCAAAAAAGTAGCATTCAAATTGGTCACGTTCAGGTAGCCTTGGCCGTCTGTCCTTGTCCTTACGATGCGCAAACACCTCGGAAGGTGAGATATAATCGTAACGATCTGTGTTTTGTACTTATCCCTGCCAAGGCAAAGATCCCATGTGTAACTTTAACTGACTTCTTGTGGAAAGTGCTGTTAGCACGGCACACGAGGCGGTGGTGTGGCCAGCACCACGCCCGGCAACCTTTGTCTCCCTAGTGGCGAAGTTTCCACACCACACCAGGTACTCATTTAGGGCTGAGTCCACCGGGGGGAGGCCCAGGACCGGTTCAGATAATTGTCACTGGTATTGTCCGTGAGCAGGAATCGAACTCGGGTCGCCGGCTTCTTATCTCCGCCCGCTAACCGCTCCTCTTTCGCTTCCCCTGCACACACACTTGTATAATGACGACTTGACACACTTCACTTGAAATGGCACTTCATTGAAGACACGTTCACTTGCCATTAGGCGGAGGGATCCCACTACAACAGCCCTGAGTCTCCCGCGCATCTCCGGTGCATCTCCCTTATATATCATCACGAGGCCACGCCCCCCTTCTCGATCTTTCTTGCTGACTCTGGAGTCTCCCTCTACCGGCAGACTCCACCGTCCTCTTCCGTCACCTGACCACGCTCGCTTCTCGAAATGTTCCCGTAGCCACCAGTCCCTTCGCACTCACAACTGACTCCCCTGTCATTACCTCCCGTGGCCACTAGTGCATTCGTACTATAGGCTGACCTCCCTGTCATTACCTCCCGTGGCCACTAGTCCTCTCACACCGCATGCAGGCTCTATTGTCATCGCACATGCAAAACCCCGACAACTTTACATTCTTAATCCTGGAACACCCACAATGAGATGTAATTCCAAGCTTAAAAAAGCGAATTCCTTAAAACTCGCAGGCACACACCATGTCAAATGCCGTCAGCAAGCGCCGATTTAGGCCGGCATGG